GCTGCATCACATGAACGTGAACCGAGATTTTAACTGAATGAGTTTAGTTTTACGCCGCTTTTAGCAATATTCCAGCAATATCAGGACAGGGGACACCAAAAATGGGCTTCACACAGTGTTACCATGTGGGGAATCGAAACCGGGTCTTCGGCGTGACTAGCAAAGGCTTTAACTGCAAGGCCACCCTTCCACCCCTGCAGACCTTAATCCACCTTGAACTAAATATATCCAATACAGCCCATACAAGTCTATAATATTTGAAAGGTCTAGATTATCGGAAAGTGAGGTGAGGAGATATAGGGTTTAATGTCGTACGTAAGAATATTTCGCTCATATGCATGCGTGTGTATGTGTGGCTGCTTGTACTGGCCCAGACTTAAGCTGGTTTTATAGTGCTAGCCCACTGAGATACCATGCTGCAGTGAAGCATGAATACCCCACTCAGACACATTATACTGACTCCGAGCCGACCAGTCCTTGTTGTACCCATTAATGCCGAGCGCCAGGCAGGGACCAACAAGTACCATATTTTAACTTATTTTGGTATGACTCGCCCTGGGGTCGCTCCCGGGGCGGACGCCACACCACGAAGGCGGTCTCTTCGAAAGTCATTAAAAAGCTATACACTTAAAGGTGGAAAAATATGGATTTAACCCTTTGTAAATAATATGAAGACGACAACGTTCCGAGGTATATTCATCTGATGGAACATACGGCTGCCATATTGCTGAGTGCGGCGTAAAACTAAATTCACTCACTCACGCACCCGATGGAGTAGTAAGACCTTACTTCGAAACGGAAACGGTGTGTTCCTCATAATGCAGTGAGTGAGTGAGTTTAGTTTTACGCCGCACTCAGCAAAATTCCAGCTATATGGCGGCGGTTTGTAAATAAGCCTGGAGCAGACCATCCAGTGATCAACAGCACATAATACAGATCTTGACATCCATAAATGGTACCCAATGGTTGCAGTTAAGATAATTCAAGAACTGTTTTTCAATGTGAATTCTAGTAAACTACCTTTATACCGAACACGCTTGTAACGAACTGACGGATGTAACGAACTGTTGGTCGGTCTCGGCCTCTTGCTGTGTACATGTACTGTAGTCGAATGCGTATATTGAACTACGGTTATAACGAACTAAAATTCGTGGTCCTTTTGAGTTCGTTATAACCGTTGTTTACTTGTAGTTCATGTCAGTGTTAACTTACCTGTACAGTGTGTCATGACTAATGTCATAGGACTCGTAGTCAATACAGTTATTGTATTATTGGATCCATTCCCAGTTTTCTCCCCGTCATCTAATAGCCACTGCAAGGCGTGCCTTGTTTGTTCCAGTGCTGTTACGTGTGTGTGAGTGTGTGGCTGGGTGTCTGTGCGTGCTTCTGTGTGTATGTCTGTGCATGTGTGTGCTCATGCGGTGTGTTTATGCGCGTGTATGCTTGCTTGTGTGTATGCTTGCTTTGTGTGTGTGTGTGTGTGTGTGTGTGTGTGTGTGTGTGTGTGTGTGTGTGTGTGTGTGTGTGTGTGTGTGTGCCTCGCCTGATGGGTATCTATAACAAACTGTTTCATGTGTGAGTGAGTATAGTTTTACGCCGCTTTTATATCCGCAATATCATGTCTGGGTACACTAGAAATGGACTTAAGACAATGTATCCACGTGGGTCTTCGGCGTGAAGAACAAACGCTTAACCACAACGTTACTAACCCACCCCACCCCCACCCCACCCTCCCTCCTCCGCCCCGCTCAATTGAAACTGAATTGATTTACAACCCGTAACCTAACACACCATCGAGAAACATTACACTCACCACATACCGGATGTGGAAGAAGGAAAATAATAACCTCCCCACATTTGTCAACATAAACATCCGGGAGCCTCTACGGGTGGGAAGTTCCTGATTGGCTTGACTGTTAACTACAAATTTCTTTATGCCCCCACACCGCTTACCTGATCTGACCGTAACAGCCCTGCAGGTGGTTCGAGCAAACACTAACGTTCGTGCATATCACTTAACATTAAGCGTCGAAAGTTTTTCACAATTTTGCAGCATTTACTATTGTTAAGCTTTTCTAAAAAATGACACATCGCAGCCGGTCAACGTGGGGCGTTCATACATTTCCTGCAAAATGTAATACATTGTTGTGTTGTAGTTAACATTTCAGGACAATGCACAAACAGATAAAAAAAACATGGCTTCGCAACTCATTGTTTCCGATGCAGAACCCAGTGATCCCAGTACTGCACTTGGAACCGACGAATGGGTATCGGATGGACACGATATTGAGCCTATGGTGACATCTAAAATCGTTATGTTGCTATGTATAGTATGACCAGAAACACACACCTTCAAGTCCCGGTTTCGAATGCCATCAGGCCCCGGTGCTGTATTAGATTTTAACCTTTTAATAACGCTTTTCTGGCAATCTGGTGAGAAGTAACGCAATAACGGTGCAGTTATTTTCTCGTGCATTGCATGATCATAATGACGGGCCCATGGTGCATCAGGGTTGCAGTTGCCGGATACAGACTACAATTGTTTCCAGAACCTTTCTATGGTCTCTATCACCAACATCCTTTATTTTGAGTTGCCTGTAAAAGTGCTTTTCATTATTTATAAAGAGTTTATATTGTTTGATAAATTCATTTTCTTTTCCCATTGTTTTCTTTCTCTCCGTAATAACCTTCAATGTTTCCGAAAGGGGATCAACAGTTTGGAGAAATACCTTTTCTTCATTGTCTTGTATATACTGAGTCAAAAAAGAAACTTCACATTCTTTCTTCAGGGCACTATAAAAGAACAAGAGATGGTAAGATGGTTAAATTACTGAGATCTGTGTTATGTACTCGATACAATGACAGTGCCATAATCAGTTCCATTAGGCTACACCGCCGTTCCAAAACATGGGTATACAGAATGTCAAGTCACAAGAATAAAAATGCGAAATTTCTCAGTTCAATATGGTGTATGGCCGCCCCGCGCATTCACCACTACCAAACACCGTCTCCTCATCGACTGCCTGATGCTTGTGAACACGTGGTTGGGGATTCTGCGCCATTGCTCTTGCAAGGCAGCGCCAAGTTCCTGCAAATTCTGAGGTTGGTTCCTAAGACCACGAAGCCTTCTCCCAAGTGCATCCCAAACGTGCTCTATTGGATTAAGGTCAGGGGACCTCGATGGCCAGTCCATGACGTTGATTCCAGCGTTTTAAAGGAAATTTCGTGTCAACATCGCAGTATGCGGCCGAGCATTATCATGCTGGAACTGTAGACCTGGGCCATGAGCCGCCATGAAAGGAACGAGTTCAGGGGTGAGCACCTGGTCGCGGTAAGCAGCAGCTGTGAGGTTTCCACGGATGACCAGAAGTCGGGAACGGTTGTTCCCACAGAAAGCACCCCACACCATGCAACTTCCGCCCCCGAATCTGTCGACTTTCTGTACACAACATTGGGCATATCGTTCACGACGTCGTCTCTCTCCGCCTGCCGTCCGCGAATCTGAGAGTAAACCTGGATTCATCGCTAAAGACGACTCGATTCCAGTCTCTCTGGGTCCATCGGAAGTGACGTTGGGCCCACAGCAGACGTTGACGTTGATGAAACGGCGTCAATATTGGCCCACGATATGGACGTCGAGAATGGAGATTGGCAGGCGCAACCGATTTCGAATGGTCTGTGAGGACAGTCGACCTCTAAACATCTCAGCCCTGGTTCGTGTAACCGGCAGAAATCTGTCACGTAGGTGACGTAGGACGATTTGACGGTCTTCTGCTCGTGACATCACACGTGGGCGACCCGACCTTGGGCGATCAGAAGTGGTGCCAGTTTGTTGTAGATGACCTCGCAAGTCATACACAGTACGACAGCTTCATCCAATTGCTCTTGCGACGTCCATAACTGATCTTCCCGCTTGCAACATGCCAACGGCACGTTCACGTTGCACATTTGACAATCGTGGCATTTCAAGTACCGTTAGAACTGTGCTTTCAAAGTGTTTTTTCAATTCTTGAGGCCAATGCAAACACGTGCATATGAAGAAAACTTCGATGCAAAGATCACGTGATCGACTGCACGTGCAAAACCTGATTTGGCACTATCGTCATTTGCACGACGAATGGATGGGTTTGAGTGGGGTTTGCTAACGTTTTTCTAGAGTCGAAAGATAGGGATCCCATTTCGGATACATAGGTGTCAGATCATCAGAGAAAAATTATTCATTATTTTTCAAATTACATTTTGTGAAGTTTCTTTTTTGACTCAGTATATTTCCATTAATTTTTAATTTTCTCCAAATTGACTTTTGCTTTCTTGACATCATTACCCGATGATCTGAATTTAAGCTCAGTCAAGGAAATGTATTTTTAGTTTCCGGTAGTTATATTTGAAACCTGTTGGGGTTTTCTTTGTTTATTCATTAGATGCTTTTTTTGTTTGAAACTGTCTATAATGCCTCCACTGTTCGAGCGGTAGCATACACTGCAGTTAATTTCAGGCAATGAACAGTCCGCAGAACGTTTTAAATATTTAGCTTCATAAAGGAAATAAATTTCAAAGACATATTCAGTTGTGTATGTGGCCTAATGTCTTAAAGTAAATCAGATATTTCATCATAACTAGCATAAAAACAAATATAAACAGTATTTTCAGAGAGAACTGCAAGTGAAGAAGAAAAAGAATGGGGTTCAGAAATTTCGAGCCAATTGAAAGAGGAATGGGATGGACGCTGGCGTCCATTTGAAGTTTCTGGTCTGCTGACACGTGAGCATTCTGCTCATGCAAAGGTTCCTGGCGGGTCTCGGAGATTTTGCTCCGTCAGGCACAGTGGCTAGGCATGTTCCTAAGCAGCTTAAGCGACTTGTACTTCATGTGTGGATTTTCAGAATATCCTGTCTCCTTTGCACACTCAAGTACTGTGTTTTTGAGATGGTTTGACCACGACATTCTGTGCCTTACCCTGGAGCAAGTCCCATCTCCAGTATGATTGGTGTAATTACCGGATGAAGGCTGCCTGGCCTGCGGAGTTGAAAGATGGTTTGATCAAGATATTCTTGGTCGGGTTTTGTGCCTTCCCCTGGAGCAAGTCCCATCTCCAGTATGATTGGCTTAATTGCTGGAAGAAGGCTGATTGGCCTGCGGAGTTGAAAGATGGTTTGACCAAGATATTTTTGGTCGGGTTTTGTGCCTTACCCTGGAGCAAGTCCCATCTCCAGTATGATTGGCTTAATTGCTGGAAGAAGGCTGATTGGACTGCGGAGTTGAAAGATGGTTTGATCAAGATATTCTTGGTCGGGTTTTGTGCCTTCCCCTGGAGCAAGTCCCATCTCCAGTATGGTTGGTTGTGATTACAGGGTTATGGAGTTGAAAGATGGTTTGCTCCCTGTCTGTGTGTAACTCAGTTGTTACCCAGATCCGGTGGTCAGCCTTTACTGGGTAAAGTACGTATAGTTCAGGGAATATAAAATACCCCTATCTATGCCCAACACAGAGAGGCATACATCATCGGGCACTATTGTTATTATGATTCGTATTATCATCATTACTATTTTTACAAAATACAATACCATATCACTCCATCGGTTCCATTGGTTCTCATGCTGTTGATCACTGGATTCTCATTCAACTAAGTATGTAACACGAGTTCTGATTGGTCAATGCTATAAATTTCCGACCGTATAATCAGCATATACGGTCGCAATTTGAAAACCGATTCACCGAAACCTTTGAATGTATCCCTACACTATTGGGGTAACGCTGTTTCGCAGGACATTGTCATTTGCAGAAGCCATTGGTCAATTAACTCCCTTATCCAGCTAAAATGGGTGGAATTTGTATTAAAAAAGACAAAACAGTATCATAAATTTAATTTTAAGTTCAAACAACTTACTCGCAACGGGCTGTTGACCCAACACTGTTAGATCATGAAACAAGGTTTATGACGTCATTATGGAGCGTGACGTCACCTGCTATGACGTCATTTGACAACAGAACTGATAATGGCGCGTAGTTGAGGAATCATTTCTGTAACTAGAGGGCGGTTTCATCATAATACCGTCCATTTTATCTTTAATACTATGATCTATTCATCATTGTCAAATTTAGTCTGTGTGCACATAATAAACGTGTGTAGTTTGAAAAGGGAACTACTTTCTCTGGCGATGGTGTAAGTTGAAGGAGTGATATGATTAACCATTGACCTAGAGGAACTTTGACCTGGTTTAAATAATGAATTTCTTTCACGAAAAAACAACGTAAAACGAGTTGAATTAGAATGGGGATAACTGTACTGTGTTTGACGAATTGGGGACGTATACCGGTGGTTATATAGCCGCAAATTTAACGTTATTATGAATTAGAATGGGGATAACTGTACTGTGTTTGACGAATTGGGGACGTATACCGGTGGTTATATAGCCGCAAATTTAACGTTATATCGGGCGTCGCCGATATAACGTTAAATTTGCGGCTATATAACCACCGGTATACGTCCCCAATTCGTCAAACACAGTACAGTTATCCCCTAATTGTCTGGTATAGACTCCATTATTTACAGACCGCCGTCATATCGCTATAATATTGCTGAGTGCGGCGTTGAATAATAGACGAACAAACCCACCCAACTTTCCTCCAGGATAGCAATGAGTTCCTGGGGAACATATCATCAGTATTTCAGTATTTTCTTTAAACGCATATAGTATTGTTGGCTGTTGCCCCAGTGACTATGAACAGGATGCATGCCGCTGTTCTAATCGCGCGAGGCTAATATAGATTCTGACCCCAGTGGTATTCGACGCTTCTCAGCTGAAGTCAATATTTGGTTTGAACGTGTACACGGTGATCAGAGGCTATGATGTTACACCGAGCAACTCCCTCTCCCTGTAGCATGGCTACCCTTACGTGGACGTGTTGTGTGGTATTTCTGCCTGTGGTGTTCTCTCAGGGGATTGGCATCACTGGGAACTGTTCGAACGATGACACAGATTCTTTGGAAATATGGGGAACTGAGGTAAGTCATAACGCGTTGTTTGTTTTTTTTGGGGGGGTAACGTGAAACGAATAAGGCTAACACCAATATAGGTACTGTGTTTGCATTACGCTGAGGTTATATGTCAAGACGTTGCATGAAATAGCCGAGTAATCGTCGAGTAGCCTAGTGGTTATAGCGTTCACTCGTCACGCCGGAGTTCCGGGTTCGATTCCCCACATGGGAGGGGTGTGGGGTGGTGGTAAGGGGGTAACGTGAAGCGTCTAAGGTTACCACCAGTAACAGATGCTGTGTATGCATTGTGTCTAGGTAATATGTTAAGAAGGTGCACGTAATAGCTGACGGGCGGTAGGGTAGCCTTGTGGTTAAAGTCTTCACTCGTCACGCCGAAGACCCGGGTTTGATTCTCCACATGGGTACAGTTTGTGAAGCCCATTGCTTGTGTCCTAATATTTCTAAAAGCATCGGAAAAGTAAATACGCTCAACGATAGCCGAAGTGAGATTGATGTGTAAAAGCGCCTCCATTCGGACCTTGCTAAACTGAAACTCTGTTTCTGTCTGTTTTCTATGGTGGCTCCGAATTTTAAGGCGAGAAAGCGATGGTCCTAATCAGCCACCATAGTTATCTAACGACACACCCAGACACATGGCCATCGTTATTTATTATTATAGGATATTTATATACCGCTCATATCCACGCAACTAGTACATGCTCAAGGCGCTGGTATTTTTCCCGTCGATCATTGGATGTCAGTGTCAACAATCTCAACTCCCTGGGGAGCATACAACTCTTTCAGCCACTAGGCGCACCGAGGTATTGTGGCTTTCCCATCCTTAAGAGGTACCCATTAACAGCTGGGTGGACTGGGACACATAGTCACAGTACCTTGCCCGAGTTTACTGCAACGTGCAGTAAACAAGGTGTTTGCACGTATTCATGTGGCCACCATGTGGTAATATACCAGCGGATTCGTAGGTTCTTTTAAGTGCACAGGGTTGTGTACTGTACACTAGGGGTTGTGACAACACTGACAAAGCCTGCACACAAAGTTGACTCCAATGTTTTTACACCCGGTCACAGGTGGGCTCGATCCCGACACCTCAAACTCGGTGGATCTCTAGCCTGGCGCCTTAGCCAGCTCGCCCACTACACCCCCACGTACTAATGTGAGACCATGCCATGCATCAGTAATTTCGTTGTTGATACAGTGACACCCAGTTAATCTGGAGGATACCGCAACGGCCGTCTTTCTTACCCCCCAAAAATAATGTGTCATTGGTAAATGTGGCAGACAGGTGTGCGTGCACACATTCATCCCGGCTATCACACACACACACACACACACACACACACACACACACACACACACACACACACACACACACACACACACACACACACACACACACACACACACACACACACACACACACACACACACACATATGCTCGATCAAGGTTACACAATTAAAGGCCACAGTAAAGATTTCAAAGATTTCAAAATATTGACCAGACATTCCCAAATTATTTCACCGGAACAATTGACTAGACGTAGCATATGGTTATGACGGGTGCCACCGGTGGGGCAGGATACGCTCACCTTTTCGCGAACACCTATTATCGAGACTTTTCCATAGTGTTTCAATAAAACATGCTCTGTCGTTCTGTCACTGGATTATCTGGTACAGACTCGATTATTTACAAACATCATTGTACAGCTGTAAAACGGCGCTCACCGATTGTTAAGATCTTCAGATGGGTTAGTTGGGGGTAGGAGTTATAATTAAAATTAAAAGTAGGGTTGACATTATGAGTTCTGCTGTTCGGGTTGATGCTACAAAGGAGGGGGCGGGCGGAGGTCGTAGTGGATGCAATGTAGGGTTATTCCTCATACTTATTTTCTCATATACTTAACGGGTACTAAGTCAAGAGCGGCATTACACTCTATTCGTTCAGTCACTCACTTTGACCATGGCTATCAACCAGCTCATTATAAAATAGTTTGAAGTGTTTCTTTACAAACATTATCTTTCATTATCATTCTGTGGGTGATTGAGTTTTGTTGGGCACGCAGGTTCCGTCTGTACACCTGATTACAGATCGTCTATACACTCACTCAACGAGTGTAGCTCTATGTAGCCCGTCTCCACTTTGAGAGGCACTTTGACCAACAGTCCTTCTGAAGTGACTTTGTTGTACGGCAGTTGTCGCCTGTCATGTCTTCAAGGGGTGTTGACGTTGACGCTGTTGGCAGTGATGAAAATCTGTACAGTTCGGGCTGTATGGAGTCTGGCTGTCATGCTGATAAAGGACACCTCGTGGCAACTGTTTTAGCAATGGTAGGTCAATTAGACGAACAATGTCAACCAATTTGTTTTTGTTAATGATGACCAGCGGTTTTCTCTCGTACCCAAACAATAACATCGCCTCTAAAATACCCCCACCTTCAGAACGCAACATGCCGCCGTTGTTCTCCCCTTCACTGGTAACACGCTTCCATCAGCTGTGTAAAGACAAAAGCGGTCCCCCGTCAGTCACATCGCTACAACGATGTTCAGTCCGAGCTCATCTCAATCTCTGAGGCTTATGTTACATTGTCAACAACTGTCAGGTCTGCAAGTCCTACCTACCTGAGTCGCCTGGCCACTGTCAGTCCACTGACCATATACCCCTAGGCATTCGTCGCTGATGTCATATATGAATTCCAGAGATGCAAAGTGCTAGTCTCTATTAGGGCGTAGTTTCTCTTGGTCTGCCTGTTCGTCGCCTGTAGTTTCTCTTGGTCTGCCTGTTCACGGCCTTTCAGTTTCTCTTGCTTTGCCTGTTCGTGGCCTTTCACTTTCTCTTGGTCTGCCAGTTCGTGGCTTTTTAGTTTCTCTTGGTATGCCTGTTCGTGGCCTTTTAGGTTTTATTGGTCTGCCAGTTCGTGGCTTTTTAGTTTCTCATGGTCTACCAGTTCGTGGCCTGTACGTTCTCTGAGTTTGCCAGTTCGTGGCTTTTTACTTTCTTTTGGTCTGCCTGTTCGTGGCCTGTACGTTCTCTTGGTTGCCAGTTCGTGGCCTTTTAGTTTCTCTTGGTCTGCCTGTTCGTGGCCTTTTAGGTTCTCTTGGTCTCATAGTTCGTGGCTTTTTAGTTTCTCATGGTCTACCAGTTCGTGGCCTGTACGTTCTCTTGGTCTGCCAGTTCGTGGCCTGTACGTTCTCTGAGTTTGCCAGTTCGTGGCTTTTTACTATCTTTTGGTCTGCCAGTTCCTGGCCTGTACGTTCTCTTGGTTGCCAGTTCGTGGCCTTTTAGTTTCTCTTGGTCTGCCAGTTCGTGGCCTGTACGATCTCTGGGTTTGCCAGTTC